CAAAGTAGAACCCATAAATATCCACATATCTGCCAAGATGTAGCAAGAACAAAGCCATTATACTTCATGAACCCCAATAACCCAATCGATTCAAAATTTAGAATAACCCATAGAAGATATTCCCACACCTGTTTATGCTAATTTTGGTGTTTGATCAATGGAGACAATGAATCAAAAAAAAAAAAAAAAAATTCAAAGGAGACGAGAAACATATCATGACACTGTCACTTTAAAGACTTGGAAGTTTCGAAAATAATTTTTTTTTGGGGATGTAATGCGTGCTTGGTGGGAAGTGAGTTTATGGTGGCACATATATGGTGATCGGTGAACGTAGAAAGAAGATGAAATTAATAAAAAAGGATAGTAAATCTGGAGGAATAACAAAAGTCATACAGGTTACTCTTTGATGGAGGAAGAACAATGGTCATAAAAAGGATATTCTCTAGATTTAGTACTTTTTGAAGGATACGATAGAGATCCAAAAAATTTGTTTTATTCCTATTCAATGTTAAGAACATGAACGGTTTTACTATTGGTAACCATTTATTCATTACAATTGCAATTGAATATTTATTCCTAGATTATGAATGGTGTAAGAGTTAAATTAAAAAATAGGATATGATTGTTTTTATATAGTTGTTTAAGGGTAAAAGACGAAAATAAAATAGTTTCTTTGTAAAGTACTTTTAAAAGTAGTACATAGATTATATAATTATACAATGAAACTAAGTTAAAATTCAAAGGTAATTTTTTCAAGTTTAATTTAATTATGTTATTTTCAAATTACTGATGAATTTGAATAGAATTTGGTAGTGTTCTTGTCATAGGGCAGTAGCAACTGGATCCTAGAGTCGTTGCCACATTGCTTTTCTCTCTCTCTCTCTCTCTCTCTCTCTCTCTCTCTTGTATTATTTTCTCTATTTTTTTTTTTTTTTCCTTCAAAAATCAGTTCAGAGTTCTAAGTCTTTGTCACAAAAGGAAACTATATAAGGACTATAAGGTATTTTTTTTTAAGAATGACAAGTTTTGACAAGAAAGCAATAGTACAATTCAAAATTGACGCAAAATTAAATTGTTAGGATTAACTATTTCTCAACGCGAATACAAAAATGACACGACCTATTAACATAAATTATAAATGAGTTATATTTGAGTTTAACCTGTGTAACACAAAATTGATCTGATTGACATGTTCAACTAACTGTGGATTGGGCTTATTCATCTTTTGAATTTTTTCCATCATATTTTTCTTGTGAAAATTGGAATTGAGTTCTCCTTAAGAGACTTATAATCAGTTTAGACCATCAAGGAAACTTATTTGGACTAAGGCTAAGTCTATTGTAAGAGAGTCTATTGCTCATTTGGGTTATATATTACTCGATTTCTGGAGATTACAATGGTGAAGCTGGCTCAGAGCCTTTACAAGAACAATGTTCAGTTAAACTAGAACTGTGCTGATGATTCGAGAGAGAGAATGAAAGAGATGATCCTCCACTGCAGCAGAACAGTATCCTATTTATACAAGTAACCCTTCTAGGGTTTCCTGCAGCTCCTTCCTTCTGTGGGCCCTATTTTGTCCTGCAGCGAACTCTGCCACGTAAGACCACTACGCGCGCAGCCTTTGAACAATTATGCGCACCAACACACTTAGTTCCAGGGATTGCGTGTTTGTTATGGGTGTCAAAAAAAGGTCTCCTTGACCTTAGGGCAAATGGCGTGGCGAAGTCCCTTTAAGACAGACATTAGGCCGAGCTTCTTCCTCGGGGTGATATATGTCTGAGCTGGACTGGGTCTGGGCTAGAATCTAGGTCCACTAGCACTGTTGGGCATTTCCTTTTGGGCTCGGTTCACTCTACTCTTGGTGTGGATAGGCCGTGGATACTCTATTTGGGTCATTACGGGAGTAGTGGGTTCTTGGGCTCATTAATTATGGTAGCCCAGACCCAAAATTCCATCATTATCAATTGCCCCCCAGCCCCAGTTCATGATGACGTTAGCTCTAACCTGGGGTTAAAAAAGTCTTTTTTAGATTGGGCATGGTTTCTTTGAGCGGCAGTTGTGGTTGATTGCTGGTTCTAACCTAATTCGTGCGGTGTTAACCTACACTGGCTATAACGAGATGGTTACGTACACGCGTCACCCATAGGAAAGCCCATTGGTACGGTTTCTTTTGCACATTCTGTCGTATGTCTATCACAAATTAAATGCTACGTATAAAAGAGGGAAAATCCCTTCGTCTTTCTTTCTTGGTGTTTTTGAATCCTCATATGTTCGTGCCTCTTCCCTCCTTCAGCTTTTGAGGCGTCTTGTTCCTTGCTCTTCGGTGATTTAGGGTTTTTACGTTTCTTTTTCCACTCTACTTCTAGCGTTTGATTCGGTACGTCTCTTTCCCTTCCTTCTCTTTGCTTGATCTGGATCCCTTTAACCCTCCCTGATGGGGCTTTGGGTTCCATTTTTTGGTTTGGAGGTTTAGCTACATTAGGAGTCATTTCGATGGTTTTTCTTCCCTTTTGTAATTTGTAAACCGTTCTTTGTTGTCGAGGCTATCTTTTTTTAGGTCTTGGTATCTGAATCCCCTATTTTTAATGGACTGTGTCTTGCATTTGACTTCTCTTCATTCTGGTTTTGCGATCTGAGCAACTGATGGGGAGGTTTGAAGTTTCTTCTTCTAAATTTGAGTTTTAGGAATGGGGTGATGAAGAGGCTTCTATGGCCTCCACTAGTGGATGTTCTGAGGAGGAGGCCTCCTTTCCTACTACTAGTAATGTACTAGTCGGTGATGATCAGCTTCTGTTTTCCTCATAAGAATATTTAGAGTTCCTTCCTAGGGGATCTGTCGAGGAGGCTTCTAGGATAGTCCATGAGGTTTTAGTTTCTGCCCCCCAGTAGAGGTCCAGACTCCTTTTGCGTTGCCCTCCTCCTCCTCCGGTCAGTCTAAGAAGAGGAAGTCTAAGGCTGATCCGTCTTCTAAACCCAAGAAGAAGACCTGTTGGGATCTGTCAAACCTGACTTGTTGTGCTGAGTCGACTCCTAGTCACCTTGATGACGAGGATCTAGAGGAGTTGAGGCAAGAATATCACTTTCCTGACTCTGTGGAATTACAGTCCCCTGAGGAACATGAGAGGTGTAACTCTTATATCCCCAGGCTGACCTGTTTCTTTGAGTCTACATTCCGAGCTGGCTTTGGATTCCCTGTCCATCCCTTCATTCGGGTTATTCTTGTTTTTTACCAAGTCTGTCCAGCTCGGCTTTCTCTGAATGGCTAGGGTCTCCTAATCAGTTTTCTTGTTCACTGGTTCGAGAGTGGGAATGACTTTTGTCCCACCATTCGAGAATTTGCATTTCTTTTTTAACTCAAATCTTCCCCTTCCTTGGGCTTTCTATAGTTTGCCAAGAGGGTGAAAGCAAAGAACTTGATTTATGGGCTCCCATCTTCCAATAAAGGGTGAAAACTGAGGTTTTTCTTCGTTAGGGGCAACTCCTTGGAGCTGTTGGGGGAGTCCGGTGATGTTCCTTGTATTCCCAAGTTTTGGAGGATCCCTAGAAACATTTGTAAGCCTAGTCTTTAAACATACTTTCTTTTCTTGTTCATTCTCACTGTTTTCTAATAATTTCTGACTCATCTTGCAGGTTTTTGTCCATTCTTAACGCAAAGGAGGCGGCCCGGGTAGCTAGAGCTGAGGTTTTTGTCTTGCAATCCTTCTTTGATCTAGTAATCGACAAGAATCTTGCAAAGCACGAGCTCAGGCCACCTATAAACGTTGAACCCACCCCGGAGTCGGTGCCACCACCTACCCCCAATCTAAATCCATGGATCTAGACCTTATTATGGCAGCTTTCTTGGATGCCAAAAAATCGAGGAAGAAGAGAAAACTGGTAAAAGGTTTATAGCCACCCTCCAAGGAAGTATCAGCATGTGCGCCAAAGCCCATCTCCTTAGAGCAGAAGCATGAGAACCTTGCCTCCCTTGAAGGTGCCTCTTTGCCCTCGTTGTCCCTCAAGCTTCCTAAGAACAAGTCTTTTCCCAAAAGGTCTTCATTGGGGTAGCTTAGGGCTTCAGCGGCTTCTCGTGCTCCTCCTCAACTCGTCTCTTAAGAAGGCAAAAAGGGGGAATTTGTTCCTTCCAACTCCAAGACCCAAGGGAGTAGATTCCATCGCGATCCTGAGGCCATTGTGATTGCTTTGTTCAATTTGGTTCCCACATCGGACCCCAAGGTGGTTATGTAGGTTCCTTTTAAGAGAAAAATTTTGCGCTTTTCCTCTAAAATACTTTTTCTGAGGCTTTCTTGGTTATTTCTCGTGTTGAATGACTCCTTTCCTTTGCTAGTCACTTGCATGCGTGAAGATGATAGACTTCCACCACGAGCAAGAGCTGATGAAGGCCAAGGAATCTCTCGATGTCATGGTGGCGGTAAAAAGGCCGCTGAGGAGAAGGTAACGGTTCTGACCACCAAGGCAACCAAGCTAAAAAGAATCTATGACGAGCTGAATTCCCAAGCATTGTAATACTCCCGGAGCATACTCTCCCAGGGACTCTATTCATCAATAAAACATTCCAGGCCTCCGCTGCCATTCCCAAAAGTGGAGTAGGTCACCCAGACCGAACCACTATAAATCTGTGTGTTTTGCTCTTATGTACTATTTTGTCATTGGTTGTCTATTTATTGCATTTGTGCACATTCTTGACTATTGATTTTGTGCAACACCAATTTGTGCATCATCATAGGTTGTAGTGAAAAAGAACCTCTTGGATGAAGGAATGCATAGGAAACCTCAATCCTGACTCAAAGGCAAACTCAAAAAATTAGGTCATCCTAGGATGAGGTATGTTACATCGGTGATCAGCGGTTGGGAAGATGGATTATAACGTTATCTAGGAAGTTATACTCTTCCCTCCTAATAAGAACCCAACTTGCATTGATTCGAATCTAAACAGAAGTTGAACAGTAAGTCAAATCAGATAAATCACGGGAGACTTTCTTTTTCTTGGGAAGCGTTAGGAGGACTCAACCCTCAGATTTCATCACTTCCCCTAGCCGCTTTTCTAGGAGAATAAATCAAAGGAAACTCCTCCAATTGACCCGATGTGGCTTCCTCAGAGTCAAAACAACCAACAAAACCCCTCCAAGTCATTCAGAACAAATCCCCTTGGCCTCAGCAATAGCTAAGGGGAACTTATCTCCTTGGACCTCCTCGTTAGGAAGGTCTCCATTCTTAGGGGAGGTACAAACCTCCCCATCGTCACTATCATCCCTAAGCATTAAAAAAATCAAAGAATGGGTTGTAGAAGAAAAAGAAGTGTTAGACACCACCCTCACCATGGAGGCACCATACCTCAACCCACGATACAATTATGGTAGATGTGAAGAGCAATCTTCTATTGCCTTTATGTCTAGGTTCCAATCCCTCACAAGAGAGAGTGCAGTCATCGAAGAACAGTCGACGAAGGAAGGAATTGATTCGAGATATCCAAAAGAAATCCTAAGATAACAAAACCTAAAGACCACAAATCGGAACCTATACACCACCACCAGGGATCAATTCGATACAGGGTGAAGAAAGGAAAGAAAGACGTACCTAAGAGGGAAGCAACTTGGATGGGAAGACTATAGAGACACAGACGCCAAAAGGATGAACTGCACACCACTGAATCCTTGAAATCTTTCCCTCTCTCTTTTTCTAAACAAAAGAAGATGAAAAAGGCTGAATGCTTCACTACAGTGGAGGCAAAATGTTCAAATACCTTTGGGCTTTTGGTAGTTTAATCACCCCACAAGCAATTAATGCATCATACACGAAATTAATGTGCCCCAAATCATGGCCATGTGTATGACCAAGATAGGGGCAGCTCAAAAATCGAGATGTCAGGCACGTTGCATGTCTGCACAATTGTGGTCCTCTACTAAACAATCACATCACATCATGTCCAAGGTTGTGCATGAAATAAGCCTTGCTGATGAACTGTTAAGCTCTAAAGCAAACTGGCCCCAATCTAAGGTCAACATAGAACTACCTAAGCTCAGGGCTAGGGGCCAACTAATGATATCAGAAATTACACCTCAGCAAAACTCAAAGTTGCCAAGCTACGTAAGACCAACCTGACCAAGTCCAGGTCATCTAGCACCTGAGTCACCAAGCAATATCTGACAAGTTAGTCTTAGTGAAGTTAGATTGGATTCCATAGCTAGAAGAAGTGAAAAAAAGATCAGGAAACTCATCTTATCTTAAGTAGCAAGCCACGACCTCAATAATGCCACCTCACCACTTCAAGAAGATCACGTGTCCTATGAATATGTGATTTCCTTTAACGTCCTGAGATTCCCAAACGATACCAATAGATTTGATGGGTGGACTGCAACAAATCCACTAGACAAGGACAAAAGATTACCATGTATAAATAGAGATGCCTTATGAAAAAGGGATCAAATCCTCTATAAATACTCTCCTCCTTCTTCATCAATATTGAAAATTGATGGTGTTTACTATGCCAATTGAGTAGAGTGAATGAATCATGGAAATTAATCAGAATCAAAGTGTTCAAGGGTTAGGGGATTGGAATGAGTTGCACAATGAAAGTATAGTGGTTCACCGAGCTTGAGAGCTCGACTAGTCCACTCTCGAATGGAGTCTCTTGCTCCTTGAGTTTTTATTCATTACCGTAATAAATTATAGAGTGTTTTATATATATTTTTTTTTGTCCCCTTTTCGTTGGAGGCCCTGTTCAATATTTATAGTTCGTTCTTGTTTCTAAGGGATCTTCAGTGAGATCTAGCTCTTCTTCCGCGGGATTTCCCTTGATTTTGAGAGGGGATCTTGGGTGGTTAAGAGTTTCATGCCATAATTACTGTCCTCTTGTTGTTTTGTGAATGTCTCTTGTTAGCTAGTTATTCTCTTCTCACCTCTTCTGCTCTTTCATCTGAGAGGAGCTCGAGACAGGGCCTCTAAATTCTAGGCTCCTTATCTGACCTCTTTGTTTGACCTCACTTCCCAGGCTCGTACTTAGTTAAAATTCTTTTCATGTATCATCAGTTGCCCCCCAGCCCTTGGTTCAAGCAAGCTTGGGCAAGGGTTGAACTCAGACTGAGTCAAGGTAGACCTCCACTTGATGACCTCGATATACGTGTGAATAGGTTTTTGACTGTTACAAGTAATCACTTTTTCTCTCGTTTCTCGCACACATTCCCCACTTTGATGCCCCTCGTACCATTAGCTTTAAATGTCTCTGGATCAACGGCTCCCATTTCACTCTTCAAGTTCTCTCTGGTTTTCTCCTCTTTACTTTCTTGCAATTTCAACTTCCCAAGTTTGTCGTCGTTCTTAGGGCTTCACAGAGAAGCAATTTCCCTTGATTTGATCTGAAGGCTTAGCGAGGCTTGCTCTCTGGCTTTGTTCTGAGCTTTAATCCATCATTCATTCTTGTTTATGTATGTCTTTCATCTCTTTCCCATTTCCTCATTTTGGATCTCTCAAATCTAAGGTGGTTATTGCATTTCTGGACTTTTCAATTTTGTTATTTTAGGAGTCAAGGTCACTCCCTGTCTCGCCTCCTTCTCTTTATGGATCCTTACTCTACAACTAGGATTTTTGTCATTGGTCGTTGGTGTCTTGCCCCCTTGACCCTCAGAGAGTGTTTCTCAGAGGTTCCCCCTCTTTATAGGTTCTTTAAACTTCCTTACTCGTGCCCAGCAATGTCTGCCTCCTCCGAGGTCATAGGTTCGTCTATTTTCCTCATGGGGAAAAAATCTCCCGAAGCAGAGGATTCTAATTTGGGAGGTGTGGGAGAGGAGATTGATAGCTTTCCTAGTGTTGATTCTGTCGACATTGAAGAAAATGTTGAGGAGCCTCCCTAATTCTTAAAAACCCTAATAAAAGGTAAAGCCAAGGTGAGCAACGTACGAATTTTTGGTAGCGGCAAGGGTGTAGGTGTGGTCTCCAAAGCTGCAGAGCTCGTGGGCTTCGGCGATATCACTCTTTCCTATATGAAGGTCCTGGCTGCCCGCTTTGGTTTCCCCTGGGTGTACAGTACTGGTGCCCCGATATGTATACTAAATATGACTCTTTTTGTCCCTAAGAAAACCTGATTTTTCATGGCTGCTTTTGAGAATGGTCTCTGCTTTCCAATTCATCCTTTCATCAAGAGTGTTTTGCAGCATTTTAATGTCTACCTTGCTCAACTCTCTCCTAACTTCTGAGGCATACATGTGGGTCTTCTCATTTTCTTCAAGAAAAATTAGCTAGGGGTTCCCTCCGTTCCCTTGCTTATGAAGTTTTTCAACGTTAAGTATATCCCTTTTGATGGTTTTTTGTACATCTCTCAACGAGTGAAAACTAAGGTTATCATCTCTGACCTCCTGAGCTCCCACAAGGGCTGGAAAAAACTTTTATTTTTTGTGGGGGGTGCTTGAGAAAATTCCTTGTTATTTCCTAACCTCTAAACATCACCTTTTAGCATGTATAGTATATGAATGAAGGGGAGTGTCACTCTCCTAGGGATGGTGCCAAAAGAAAGGGCAACAGAATAGTGGATAAATGAGATGTCAAATGTGAGTATGTGTGAACAAAAATGCTCTCCAAGCACAAGGAGACTTTCGCGGATCGTGTTTTACTTGGTGGTATTCCAAGGTCGTTTCCACGGGGAAGGAAGTAAACTGAGGGGAAGGTGATTTTGGGAGAAAAAAAGTGTAAAATCTTTGATTGTTGGAAGTTGTTTGGTAAAGTTGTTTTGATGCTAGTAAAATGAGAAACAAATGTTGGCAAATCCAAGAGGTCACTCCAATAGGAATACCGTCTCAACTCGAAACCCTCCTCCAATAGAGCATGAATGAACGATTGATTCGTGGGAAGCTAGGGATAAGATGGGTGAGTATCTAAGCATAAACTGTGACTAGGCCTATAGAATATCAAAGAGGCACCAAGTTATCCACCCTCAGCCCAGCCAAACCGAACTATTAAATTCTGAAAGAGGGGAGGAGAATGAGTTGAAATGGTATACCCAAGTGCAGGTTCCTCTTGGTTTTTCCAACTAAGAGATTTAGCTATTCATGCTTAAAATAAAGACAACAATATGATGAGAAGAAATTATAAAGAAATAAAAACTAGAGCTAAGCATAAACGAAATGCATAAATATAACTTCCGGATAATCACCTTTTACTAAAGATTGGATGAGAAACTATTCACTCTTCATGACTTTGTTAAAGCTAGAAAAGTGAGTGATGCTTATCCTTCCAAGTAGAGGAGTTACAAAGTAAAATACTTTACACAAGGAGCTGATCTTCGACAAAGAATGAGTGAATCATGTTCTACTCTTCACGGCTTTGGTAAAGCTTTAGAAAAGTGGAAGAGTTTCGCTCCTCTAAGGGAAGAAGGAAACTCAAGCAATGGAAATAAAAGAAAGCAATAACACAATAAAAGAAAGCAATGCTTAAAGTAAAAGAAAACAATAAATTAAAAGAAAGCAATAATACAATAAAAGAAAATAATACTTAAAGAAAGCAATAAATAATAAGGAAAGCAATAATATTTTTGGAGGGTTTTTCACTACCAAAAGATGAATTCTTTACAAGTCCTAATGGGTGGTATTTATAGGCAACAAGGGATGGTGAAAGTCTTGTTAGGTGGCCTTGAATTCTTTGATCCCCCTTTTTTTTGAGCTTTGATAATTGGCTCCCCAGTAGTTTGTAGCTTTGACGCACAAAATCTTGAAAAGAACAACAATTAATGCATTATCCTTTATTCACACAGTAACTCTAATTTGATTTATTTTGACTAGTTTAACTTTATTCAACTAACACAATTTATCTATCAAATTATGCCTTAATTAGAGTTAATCAAACCACCCAACCTAAACATTACTAGTCCCTAGTAATAAATAGCAACATAACAAAATAAAACCACTTTCGTAGATAACACGATTGCATTTAGCATATGCAACAAGCCGTTAAACTCCTAGGTGATCCCTAGTGGACAAGTTTTGTCCCGTGAAGATTTTCTATGAAGCTACCTACAAACTCCAATTAAAAGATGTGTATATGTAAGATTTTTTGTCAAAATGAGTTAGCAACAGAATCGTTGAGACACACATCCCTTAATTTCTAATTGTTTCCCGAACACTTCTCTGTCATTGGTACGTACTCTATACAAAAATAAACACTTGTTACATTGGTATTTGGAATTCCCTGTGTAGTAAGAATGATCATTCTAGTAGCAAAAATTGTTATATAACAAACATTCCACTTTATCACCTTCCATGGATAGCTTTGATTTCTCAAACCTCTCTTAGAATGCTCTCAGCAAAAAAATTCACTCCGATTATTGTGACTTGTCTCTCAAAGGGCATCTGATCAGAGAATGGTCAATCGAAGAATCACATGCACAGTTAGAAAGGGAGTGAAAGTCTTAAGAAAGTAGACTAATCATGTTCTTGACATAATCTCATGGAAGAATATTAATGCAATTAAAGAAATACTACTTAACATACCCCAGTTTTCGG